AATGGGCGTGGCCGACCCCGACTTCGGGTTCTCGTTCAAGCGGGGACTGGGACCGTCCTGGGAAACCTCGCCTCAACCTTAACCGTGCTGCCGTTGAGTTGATCGGGGAATCAACTCCATCGGAATGCAAAGGGGGTTTCTTGCCGAGCAGACCTCGGGCCAGACGAGCGCCTTTGCCAGGTCGCATTCACACAAACGCTTGCAAGGCACGTTCCGGCAGCTTGAAGGGCAGAGAAAACTCCGGGGTAGCAGAAGCAGCGCAGCCGTTTATTAAGCGAGCTGCCCTCGGCTAGAGGTCTTCAGAGTCCAGGATCCCTTCAATTGCATTCCTGCACAGGGTGGTCTAGATGGCCTCGAGGGCTCCTCCGGCTATGATGGCAAGCTGCTTTATGGGGCTTTGCACCTTCGGCAGTCATCTGCAACAACCAGAAGGAAAACCCTACACCCTTTGGGGGCTCTGGAGCACAGGTGGAATTTGGAGAGCTGGGGGGGCACCCAGTAAACGGCCATCACGGGAGACTTGCGGTTCCCAAGGCGCCCTCTGGGCGAGTCCAGTCCCCCTGCCCTCCTCCTGGGATTGATGTGGGCTCAAAAGATGCTCCTGCTAACTAGATGCTAGAGGAAGGTGGCCTGCTTTGCAGGGTGCCGTGTTATATTCTATTTACATGCACACGTGTTCGCTTTTCCTGGCCAGAAATGGTGGCTCTCTCATTCCCTGAATCAAACTGACTTTCCAGCTGAATATCAGGACAGTGTCGGTGGCAGGATAGCAGCTTCTGCCTGGCCGATCTATTTTTGCCTTTGCGAACTGGCCAGCTCTGCTTGGCTTGCCAACGGGGACATCTCAAGGATATGTAGTGATAGCTGCTGCTGGACAACAAACAAAAGAGCCAGGAAAAGCCCAGAGGTTAAAAGGTTAATAAACAGTTTATTTGCATTTTACAAGATCAGTTTCCATACATTCTCAATTAATTTGCCATTAAAGTGCTGAAAAAGAGTTTTCTTTGTATTGTTTTGTTTTATAATCAAGATACAGTTAATGACAAAAGATAACAATTTGCATTTGTTGGAAGGGAATAATGACAAAAATATTTGCTCCTCAACTAAGAGAACTTCTTTCTTTTACAAAAATAAGAAATATACCGAAACAACTAAGATGATGTCATAAGGATTACAGCTTGGATTCTTTTGTAATAATAATGCATCTTTTGAACAACAAATAAATTACATGTGGATATTTGACTGCAATTGGTTTTGTCCTTTATCAAACCAATGAAAGCTTGCCTGTTTTTGTTGCAATGAAATCCCAGATGTGACACATCTCACTTGCATCTGTATATTGTGCAGTGTTTTCTTTTTAATATATCCATAATTTTAAATGATAAACATTTTAGCCCCCTGCAGGTAAAAGCAAAAAACCCCTAGTAGTTAAAATTAACACATTTTCATGAATCAACACTGAAGCTACTCAGTGAATTGAAATATATATATAATATATCTCAAATCAAAGCTTGCTTAGGTAAACATAAAGCTCTTAGCATACAAAGCACAAACCCTATGCCTGAACATAAGAGTAAATCATCCAAAATACTTCCAAGGAACTGTACATCTATCTTCCTTATGGCACAGCTTTAAATATCACATAAATCCAGGCTTTTAAAAATTTATTACTTCTCTGTTTGCAATAATTTGCCCCTTGCTCATCAGTAATTCTGCATGAATTATATTGACTGAATTCAAACTGATACAGCTGACTGACCCAACAGCTGTTTGGTTTAAGGTACTTTTAAGGTCCTTGCTGCTTTTAAAAACATTTTTTTAAAAATAAATACATATCTTGGCACAATTCGGCGCTTGCCACCACAATGCGCCGTGGGAAGCATTCATGACCCAAGCAAACGGCCAGGGGCATCCAGTAGAACCTGCAATGACGGGTGTGTCCCGACATCCCGGTGGGTGCAAATTGGATACTCTGCCCACCGTCACCCACAGATGCCCATGGAAGTCGCTGTATCAGTTTTGGGTGATGTAGATCTCTGGAAGATAGGAATCTGTCAGTGGAGCCCTCCCTGTTCACAGAAAAACAGCAGTCGCTTTTCTCTCAAACCCAACTACTTCACCGTAGATCGCCTGTTTCATTGCAAAGTGTTGGAAGCCGGGAAATGTATATACAGAGGGAGGGAGAACGGGAGAGAGGGCGATTATGTACAGAGGCACTATGTACAGAGAATTTCCTGGGCTACTCCTTCTTTTTCGCCACCGTCAACTCGACCGCCGGCACCCGGAAGCCGGTTTTTGTCCCGCTTTCGTTACTTGAAGATGACGACAGCCGAGACTTTTTGGACTCCAGGGACGCTCCGCTCCCTTCCATCCTCCCTGCCTCCTCGTCACTTCCTGTGACCTCGTAAGACCCTTTACTTTTCGACCCGATTCCCCCAAAAGTGCCAAATTTGAGTTTGGCGTGCTTGCCCTTGTCCCCGTGCTCCAGCGTGCCAGTCGGGGTGGAGTGCGAGGAGTGCTCGTCGCTGAAAGAGGAGGACCGGTGCCGAGACTTTTTGGTCTTAAAGAAGGAGAACTTCCCTTTGGGCGAGGCGGCTGCTTCGCCTACTTCTATGTCCCCTTCCAAGGAACCTAAACTTGCTTTTAGCCCTCCTTCACCCCCTGCCACAGATACGGAAACATCGGGGGAGCCAACGCTGCCTTTGGCTTTCGGTTTTGAGAATGCAAACTTGGGCATTTTGATTTTGGACTTCTTCAACTTCAGGTCAGGCTCTTCCAGTTCAACAGTCCCTGCCCCAACGTGGAGACTCGCTGGTGGCGGCTGGGGAAACTCAACATCCACCCCCACTTCCCTTCCTGTTAGTTCCTGCCCTGCCACCACAAATTTTGGTATTTTCATTTTAGGGAATGATACCTTCCCAGATGGACTTTCTAAATGGCCTTGTGGAACATCCACCCCAACAGAAGGACCTTTGATATCTAATTTGGGACCACTGAGGTCACCCCCTATCTTTGGTCCAGAAAAGTGAAGGCCTCCTGTCCCTTTGACGCCAGCACTGAGCTCAGGCATTTTGAAATCACTAGAAGTACCCAGCCCGCCTTTGGCCTTGGGCCCTTTCAAGCTGACATCAAAGTCTGGCCCAGAAACTTTGGGACCTGACACATTGAGGGAAGGTCCTCTCAAGCAGATATCAGGAGTTCCGGTGTCCATGCCAGAAATCTTCATGCCTGGCATCTCCATTCCAATGTGTTGACTTTTCAGGTCGGTAGCAATCTGAGCGTCACCCTTCAAACTTGGTCCTTTCACATTCAAATCAAAGTCTACTTCAGGTCCTTTGATCTGTGGTCCTGAAATGTTCACTCCTTCACCATGTGCCCCAGAGATGCCAAACTGAGGAATTTTCATACAGGGAAGCTTAATTCCACCTCCGGAGCCTTCCACCTTGGGGGCTGTCATGCTACTAGAAATGCCGAGATCTCCTTTGATCTTTGGTCCTTTCAGATTCATGTCAACATCAGGTATAGAAATGCCTCCCTCCGAAGTCATTTTAACTGTCGGGCCTTTCACATCAACGTCTGGAGCAATTACACTGACACCGAGACCTGAAGGCTTTTGCATTTGAAACTTCCCATCAAATCCACTAACACCAACGCCCGGCATGCCAACATCAATTTTGGGAGCTCTAATCTCACCAGAAAGACCGACATCTTTTCCAAGGTTTGGTCCTTTCAGGTTCAGATCAATTTCAGGAATGCTTGCCTCTCCTCCAATACGTGGGGAAGAGACATCAAGGTGTGCAGAGGGCAGCTGTCCTTGAATGTCTACACCTGGCCCCTCCAGGTTCACACCTGGCTTCCCAATTTTTGGCAAGCTGAACTTGGGGAACTTTAGTTTCCCTTCTGGGCCTTGGATTTCGGCACTTGGGAGATCAACATCACCTTTCAGTTTTGGTCCTTTCAAGTCAACATCAAGATTGGGAGCAGAGATGGAAGGTGCAGAAATATCCACAGAGGGTACACTGACTGACGGACCTTTCAGGCTGATGTCGGGAACGGTAAGCTTTGCATCAATGCTGGGGGTTTTCAGATCCCCTTCCAATTTGGGGCCAACCAGGTCAATGCCTTCACCTGACAACTTGAACTTTGGGTCCTTAAGACCAATATCAGCACCTCCAATTTTGACATCAGGAAGGGTTGCGCTTCCACTGGGAATGGAAACATCAAGACTTGGTGATTTCAGACTGGGCGACGTCACGTCTATCCCAGGCATCTTGACATCTCCTTCTACCTTAGGCAAAGAAGCATCAGCCTTGAACATGGGTGATTTTATATCGAACTCAATGTCGGGGAATGAGAGTTTTCCAAACACTGGTTTCTTTCCCTTGGGTGATTTGATGTTAGCATCTCCTCTGAGTGACGCTTCTGGGACAGAGAGGCTTCCTTCTAAATCTGGTGATTTCATACTGGCATCCATTTCTCCACTCACATCAAAGCCAGCCTTCTTGCCTTTGACTTTAGGTCCACTCATGTGGATTTTGGGCATTTTGAATTTGCTTTTCTTCCCTTTGGCAGAAATGGTGACGTCGGGTGACTCAACGTTCAGTTCACCTTCTGGAAGAGACACATCCACAGTGGGAGACTTCACATCAGCCTTGGGGCTCTTTGCTCCAAACCCAAATTTTGGCATCTTAAATTTGGGGAGTTTAACATTGCCCTCTGGCCCTTCAATATTCACATCAGGACATTCCAAGTCAATCTCTGGACCTTTAGCTTCAATTCCTGGTCCTTGGATCGCCATTCCTGGAGTTTTTAAGTCACCTTCCATCTTTGGAATGGAGACATCAACATCACCCTTCACTTTGTGACCTTTCAAATTTAAGTCAATTTCTGGCATAGAGATCTTAGGTGTTTTGAAATGCATTTCAGGCATCTTCACCATAGGGCCCTTTAATTGTCCTTCTGGTCCTTTGATGTCCAAACCCGGAGCTTCAATGTTCATATCAGGACCTGACATTTTCAACTCTCCTTTAGGCAGACTTACATCCAACTGAGGTCCTTCTCCTTTGAACTCAGGGATACCAAATTTGGGTAGCTTCATCTTGGGTAACTTTACTTTTCCATCTGGACCTTCAATATCAACAGCGGGAGCAGCAATGTCAACTTTAGCACCTTTCAAGTCTCCTTCAAGTTTTGGTCCAGTGACATTTAGGTCACCTTTCCGACCAAACTCTACGTCAGGCATGGAAATTTTGGGGGCTTTAATATGCATTTCAGGCATTTTAAATTTGGGACCTTTCCAATTTCCCTCAGGACCTTCAAGTTCAACAACAGGAGCATCAATGTCTAGTTTCGGCCCTTTGATGTCAATGTCAGGACCCTTCAGATCAGCTTCCAACTTAGGCACAGAAACATCCACATCTCCTTTCACTTTGGGACCTTTCAAGTCAAAATCTGGCATGGAAATTTTGGGAGCTTTAAAATGCATTTCAGGCATCTTGATCTTAGGACCTTTAAGCTTTCCCTCAGGACATTCCAATTCAACATCAGGTACTGAGACATCCAGTTTAGGGCCCTTGATATTAATATCCTGCCCCTTCAAATCACTATCTATTTTGGGAGCAGATACGTCCAGGTCTAGGTCTCCTTTCAGTTTAGGGCCTCTGAGGTTGAAATCCAAATCTGGCATGGTGATTTTGGGGGCCTTGATGTTAAATTCGGGCATCCGAAATTTAGGGTCTTTCATTTTCCCTTCAATATCAATGCCAGGAGCATCTATCTGAGGAATGTTAACATCTACTTCTGGACCTTTCAGATCACCTTCAATCTTTGGAACAGATACATCCACATCTCCTTTCATCTTGGGACCTTTCAAGTTCAGGTTCATATCAGGCAGAGAGATTTTAGGGGCCTTAAAATGCATCTCTGGCATCTTAAATTTCGGCCCTTTCAACTTCCCTTCTGGAACCTCAAGTTCAACATCAGGAACATCAACATCTAGTTTTGGCCCTCTGATATCAACATCAGGGCCTTTCAGATCACCCTCCAACGTTGGCACAGAGACATCCACATCTCCTTTCACTTTGGGACCTTTCAAATTCAAGTCAAAATCTGGCATGGAGATTTTA